TCGAATTCCGCTCGTGACACTGATCTTTTCATCTCGACCAAGACCTTACATAAACGAATAATTGATTGAAATAAGTAATTTAGTCAATTAGACCACTAAACATAAAATGGATTAATATTGCTTATTTTTTAACTATCAATAAGATATCATGAAATTTTGTGAATTATGAGAAAATCCATTTATTTTTTTAACTATTTTCCTAGAATGATTCTTCTAGTCGAAAAATGTTTAATTAAATTATAGAATTTATTTTAAAACATCTGGTTTTAAACTAGTATTTCATTAATTATTTTTAAACAAATTGAAAAGTTAAAATGCATGTTTGGTTATCAAATTAACCCATAAATTTCGCCATTTCGTTAAGAATATTTGCAAAGTCAAAATGTGAATGTGAAATTCTAATTTTTCTTTATCAAACAATTAAATTTTTGAAAGAATTCCTTTTGAGGACCGTGAGGTGATGAGTATCTAAAGTGGTCGTTTATCGTTTTGTTTAACCTTGTTGTTTTTATTTGTCAGATGTGTTCACTTTGTACTGTGTTCAATGATGTTTTGTCACTGAAATACTTCAAGGATATTTAAGCCAAAATGAAATGGCCAAACGTTTAATTTGTACCTAAAATTTGTTTTCTTAAATATTAACTATTATTCACCGATTTATTCGGCGATGAATTATCGTTTGGCAGAAATAATGACGAGGCTTGCCTCGTAGGTTTCATACGTAATGGTAAATTTATATTAGTCATTGAATAAAAAATAATTAATTGATTTACTTTGGCCTGTTGACAGAAGGAAACCAGCAGAGGTACAACCACAAACAATACTTTCTAGGCTTGTAGTTGGTATATCACTGTGACATAAAAATATATTGCGTTCTTTTTGCGGAAATCAACGGAGCAACTTACATCATTACTTTTAATTTATAAATAACTTTATTTCTCGTGTCGTAATTTCTAAATATAATTGAGAAAATTTCTTATTCAATTAATTCCATTAAATATACAAATGTGAACAAATCTTTATTTAATACTAATATCGTCCATCAAATTTAAAACAGCGCTTTTTTATTGATTTTTTAATTAATTAATGTCAATTAAATATGTAATTTTGTTGAAATTTATCTTAAAACAAAGAAGAGTCAAGCCAAGAGCGAAAGTGCTTCACCTCCTTGAGCCCGCTATTTTTAGATTTTGCATATCCTAGGATATGTTAAATTCCGCCAGGTCAATTACGCCGTTGCACAATGTAAATTGTTTGTTGAAATTATAATCAGTATGGATAGTTCGTTTTCCATGCGGAATATTAACCGGTGAAATACGATACTGAGGTAATCCTGTATTGTCTTTTTCTTAAATATTTTTATCCTGAAAATATTGTTACTTTAATTATTTGGAGATCCTGAGATGCGGTTTGGTGTGACGTAGGCTTTAGAAAAACATTTTCTTTATCGTACCAACGTTTCGATCTTTATTGAGAACATCTTCAGGGCTCAAATTGTCTGTTTTCTGTGTAGATGTGTCATTCTTGTCTGTCGTGTGAGACGCAACTTGAATCAATCAATCTGGATCAAACTATCCAGCGGCCATCGCCTACATTAAATGAATTTGTACGCGCCATACTACGAAGAATCATCAAAAATACACGATAGTCTTAGATTTTAGACATCCTGATGAGGTACGAACAAAACTCCCGTACCATTCAGCAATTAGGGGTAACAAAATTTTCGAACTTCCTGTGACTTCTCTCTGCACAAATATCAGAATCTTGCATTAACCTTGACGTCCATCTTCCGCGTGAATCGGAAAACCTGAGAGATGTTCAACTTGGCCGTTCTTCCTGCCACTTCTCCGCCAAAGGTAACCCTGTGAATCCCACTTTTTCTCCAGGGCCATAAGATCTTGATTAAGGATGGTTAGGATTAATCCCGCCATTGCCAAGACTGCTGGTTAATTAACAGCTCTCTAGAGCCTTGTTATTCTCAAAGCTTTCCCCGGTGGACAGTAGCAATTTGCTTCCGATATTTAAATATTTTCAGAGTTTGAAGACTCACACCCGTAGAGCGTGACCCATTCTTCAGGGACTCCCAATATTGGCCAGCTGTCTACAAAATGATTTTAGAAGTCTTTGTCGAATCAATTCGGATCTGCTCTTAAAGATTGAAATATTACGATGAGTAAAGATTTGGGGTTTTTCGGAGGTCAGACTCAACAATGATCCTCCTAGCAGAAATTCAGCTAATTTGGCCTTCTTTGCGAGTCTTTCGGGTCCCTTGCCACAGTCATCTAATAACTAGTGATCCATTCCTATCCAGCCTATCAGAACTGTAAATTCCACCATTTCATGAATGTCGGTGAATGGCATTATGAGAAATACCTCATAAATCAGGACCCAAGATTGATCCTGGCCTTTCCCGCCCGTGATCTCAAATTACCCCCTACACCTATATTTTTTACTGTACAACTTGTTTATTTTTTATTCTTTGTTCCAAAATCAAATAAAATCTATTTAGGAGAATAACTATAAAAACACTTGTTCGAATTGTGTTGTTTCAATAAATCTCTGAATATTGCATTTTGTTCCACCAAAAACAAAATTTGTCAATGATTTAAAAATTATTTAGCTTAAATATATTTCACTCAAGAGTCATCTCCTTTAAAACAACATTCTTCAGCTTCCAAATTGTAGCAGTTTACAGGGAGCGCCTTTTTACATGGGCCAACAACTTTTACAGTAAACAAAACAACATATAAAAAAAAAGATAAATTGTAACCCAACTTAATTTGTATACCTCCAGAATTGATTAAAAGCACTTATAGCATATACATTACATGTACAGAAGAGAGGTTACACTGGCAAAAACATCTTCATAAAATCTGATAGCCAAGCAGCTAGCTATTCAAGCATTAGCGTGTAAAAAAAATCAAATCAAAATTAGTCGGTGAATGCATCCAAAATCTCCAAATCCTGGTGAAACACAAAAACCTGATAATATCTTGGATGCCAGGTCACAAAGGAATTCGCGAAAATGAAAAAAATATCATACATAGGCCACGAACCTATACTGAGGATAACAAAAACAATTATAGAATTCTCCATCGCAGAATGGATCCAAACAAAACAAAAGGAAAAGTGGATAAACTCTAGCGGCGCTAGACCCAATAAACTTATGATAAAATAACCCCCTCCAAGACAGGCAAACTCGCTGCTGAATTGGAGAGGGCTAGGAGAGACTCAGAGTAGTGATAGCACTATTTACTGGTCACTGGCATCTGAGAAAACATCTACACAGCATAGGCGCATACAACGATGATCACATCTGCAGATTATGCTAGCGAGGAGGAAACAGCCACCCATATCATCTTTGAATGCGAAGCAACAGCTCATTGGAGATTTAACCTAGCGTACGAAAAAATCTAGGGAATGAAATTGTAGAAGCAACAGTCAATGACCTGATACTTCTAAGAGGGATGGAGTCTATTGCACTGAACTAAGGAACTAGGAAGGTATAAAACGCCAGAAGGCTGCAGTACCTGGGGAGCACAAACCCCACTTCCTCATGGATAGTATCCTCATTACGTCACCATCTACCCAACGTAATTCTTATTTTTAATGTATGGTGTTTAGTGACCTTGAGATGAGGTCTGGTGTGACGTAGGAAGGAAAAACACTTTCTTTGTCGTGCTAACGTTTCGACCTTTTCGGTATCATCTTATTTTTAATGCCTTTTTTTTCTATGGCAGACATACAGGGTATACCAAGTAACTTTTCTTTTTCAAATACAACCCTATGGTTTTCTATGCTTATTCTTAATGTAATATTTTTTCATTAAAATTGTTCAAGGATTTGTTTGTGTTTATTAAATAATAATACAATGGATTCGGTAATTTTTGCGTTCAAATGTTTATCCTCCTCCATTTTCAAACTTGGGAATAGCTATCTAGTTAGAGTAGCTAATAGATAACTCAGAAAAATAACAAAACTTAGAATTAATTTTCAATCTTCAAACTTTCAAATGAACACAGACAAACAAAATCTGAGAAAACAAAAAATTGTCCGAGTGGTGATTTTCACGTATGGAAATTCAACCTTTTCAAAATCCCATTGGTTGTGAATGTAGACCCATCAATCCATAAACAAGACTTTTTTTACCCTTTCCAACCCCGCCGTACATGAGCAAGACCCCATACCGGCGGACATAAACAAGACAAGGAACAGCCTGGATTTTAGACCAGGATAATAATATAAGCAGGTGCTAAAAATATTGGACGACGTTATGCTACTCTGGGCGTAAACCTTGATTGTAAGATGGTAATGGGAGGTGAATGATTTTCGGAATTATGATTTTACTCAATTCCAAAATACTGCCGGCCTTATGAAGTGATGGTTTCAGGATGGTCCAAAATAAAGCAGATTTGCTAATTCATTCACGTTTCGACTCTTCGTTGAATGCAACCCAGCCGACTTTCGATCATGCCTACCGTCCACCAGTCTGCTTCCTGCAATTAGTAAAATTCTATAGAAGCTTCTATTAAATCGTCTGTACCCCATCATTGAATCCAATGAAACAATTCTGAGACACCAGTTTGGATTTAAGTCCCTACACTCCATAAGCCAAGAATGTCATCGATTTGTGGACGACTTTTCACCCTACCTTGAACATAAGCTGCGTGGTCCGAGTGTGCTCCTTGACATTGCTCCAGCTTTCGATAGGGTTTCGCACCTATGTCTATTCTTGATTATTTTGACTATCACATAGAGCATGTGCACATCCAAGAAAATATTAAACCAGTAACCTTCGTACATTTAGCTTTCGGTTCTCTGAAACATTTAAAAGGCAACGAAAACGCCATTAACAGGTATTTATAAATAATGCTTAATTGTTTAAATTAGTTATTTATTTGTTTTTACATAGACCAAACCAGTCTTTTCCGTAAAATTATAAAAATAAATTACTTATCAAAATTATGATTACATTTTGGGAAAGAAGACATATTATACTATATAGAAGGGTTATAAATAACATTTATTTATTTTCTTTTGTTCTGTTAAAGACACTTTCTTATAAACAATTTAATTTATATAAATAATCATTTTATATGTCATTTAAAAGGAAGTAAATTGATATTTTCTCTTGTAAACTAAATCAAATCGGCCAAGTATTTTGGAACTTAGCAAATTTTTAATTTAAACTCATTATTTTAAGTACACATTGGTAAATATATTTTTCCTTTGTACATTCAGCAATTCCTTTTCTTTTCTAACAAATTTTTCCTATTTTGTCCTACTTGTCGAGTTTTGCCAATTTCACCTCACCTGGGGTGAGGCGGATATCTTGGAACGTCATGTATGTATCTTTTTTCCCTGTTGAGTCCAAAACGATCACCCCGCCGTAATAGAACGACGACAGATCTTTTTTTATAGCCTCATGACCCAGATTCGCGATGAGCAGGTAGCTGTGCCGACGTGGATAAGTCCTTTCTATAGTAGCCAGATTGTTGTCGATATACCTTGAAACAACAATGGTATAGGTTAGTGAAATAGTTTAATGATTAACACTTTCAGACCATTGCAATTTTAAGGCATAAATGACGTTTATTTAATATGACTGCAGTTTATTAAGAAACTTTCTTAGAAGTTAAATTCAAAAAGAATAATTTTGTTATACTATCTTCTAGTACATATTAGTAATTCATAGGTTATAAGTCAAATTAAATATTCAAAAGTAAATATTTGTGACAATAATAAATGTACCTTATCGCTGTGTTGGGCACCAACTGGTGGTCCTTCCAAAGTCCGTGCATGTATAGGCTTGGATTGACGTCCCTGAGAGAAGACATGGCTGCGATTATTTCCGCAGAGGCTAAAGGCAGTTTAGCATGAGAATAGGGCAGCCACGGCCGGATGTGGTTGGGGTTGAAACCGATATTCCTCCTCTCGCCCCAGTGCATCGGCCCTAAATGGTGTGCGTGTTGTAAATCCGATATCTGCAGATAATATAATAAAAAATCATTATTTGTTGTGTAATAAATTTTTATAAACCTGGTTTTAAAATTAAATATATGCATAAGTCCTAGATAACAAGAGGGACTGAAAACTGGTTAAATTGGTAACCATCAGACACAAAATTTGTAATCTGTACCGATTACTCAGCACGGTCTCAGCCATGCTAAACAAATTCTCCGGGGACCCATTAATTGGAAAGATTTATGAAAGCTAAAAGTCATAGAAAGAAAAAAGTAAGAGGTATTGAGGTCTTGAGGATTCCGGGTCAAGTCAGCCTTAAAGGAAATGAAAAGGCTTACAAAGCTGCAAAAGAAGCGGCAACAATGCCACATGACCCGGGCATTAAAAGCGCATTGAAAAGATTAAGCTGGAGTGACTGTCAAGTCCGCTGGACTATGGCCGAAAAACTAAAACCTATGATACCTTGGGTTACACCCCCTGACACATGGGCACCTCCTCGTCGGAAAGAGACGCATGAGATTCCCTGTGCTGCTCGTCCATGACTGTGAAACATATTTTAGAAGAGTACGACTAACACCGCACAGGATTCGGTGAGGCCTGCCAATCGATTTACGGAAAGTATTAAAGCCCAACAGTGATCATAAAGATATACTCATTGATTATTTGAAATCATAAACGCTTATGGTTATACATAACCCCCTCACACCTGGTTCTTACTTCTATTCTTGGTATGAATGTATTTATTTGCGTGCATCGTGAGGATGAATGGAGTGGTTAGTGCCGGAAGGCCTGTCAAACGTGTTAGGTCTATTTGTATAGTCAACGAAGCTTGATGGCTAATATTTTGATAAATTATCTGTGTTTGTTTCATTTTTCTTTAGTCATTAGTCAAAACTTGATGGATTCTTCCGACTCACCTCACGTTCTGGATCTTGAATGTCCAGTAGTCCGATCTCATCACCGTAAAATATTCCCGGAGTTCCAGGAAGCGTCATCGTCGTGAGAATTGCTGCCAGTGTCGCGTTTCCGAACATCGCCTTCGACGCCAGGCGCTGTCCCTCCATGTCGCCGCAAGTCCAGTACACCCAAGGGTAGCCCGGGGTCGAGTAGATGACGCCCTGCTGTACCTTGTCCAATTTCTGTTTGATGCTCTTGGTCCCATCGATAAACGGATCGAGTTTGACGTTGATCAGATCGAATGATTTGAGTACGACGTTGATCTTCCCGTCTGCATTGGGCATTTCCGATTCCTGCAGGTGGTTCAAAACTGTCTCGGAGCAGATGAGGATTTTGTCGAAGTTCTGGTTGTATTTATTCAATTCCTCTCTCCATTCCGAAACTTGCTGTATGAATTTTTCATCGGTCAAGAAAGATTCTAGCCCGTGCAGGTAAAACCCGTCGACTCCGTTGTTGAGCCAGAAAGTGAGAACTTTAGTGATTTCCCCCCTTTCGGCTTCTCGGAGATGCGTTTTATTAAAGGAGTTTATTAAAATATGATTGTTGACAATAACATGCTTTGATGTTTCTCTTTCTTGGACGTCTTTGTGTGGTTTTATTCTCAGTTTGTCGAAATAAGGATGAATAGGAAGGTCTAGAATCACAGAAATGTTTCGATTGTGCAGCATTTCGACCAGTACTCTGAAATCGTCGAAATTTCCAATGTTCGGGTCGATTTGTGTCAGGCTCTGCACGTCATCGAAATATTCTGGATAGTTCTTGCTCTGGAATATATAGCTGAGCCGGACTCCTCTAACTCCAAGGCGTTCGAGGTAGGAGATCCTCGAAGAAATACCTTTGAGGTCGCCTATCCCGTCGGAATCGGCGTCTTGGAACGACGGTGGGAATATCTGGTAAATCAAGGAGCCCTGGTGCCATGCCCTCGGGGGATCACATCTCGTCGGTATCGTTGCCATGTATCCTATTATGATGCACACGCACGCTACCGTCAACGACATGACTCCCCAAAAGCACCATCGCCTGATTATCGGCCAATTCCAGGAGACGAATGCGTAGTCTTTCGCCGCCTTCCCAAGGCCGAGCAAGTTCGCCGAGTTTCTCAAACCGCCCTTTTCCTGTTGGAAACAATGTTAATTACTTCATTTTAATTAAGGAAATGACAAATGATAAAACCTACTGTGGCAGATGGGTCCGTAGCGAGAGTTAGGTAATCAAGCAGTTGTGCAGACGCGGTACTATCGTGCATAACAGAACACGAACTGGAAGATGAACTCTCTTCAAGACCAACATTAGCTAACATAGGTTCTGTAAAACAAATATAAGTTTTAGCATATCTATGAACCAAATTTATCGGTGATTAACAAACTTCATGACTTAGTAATAGAAAACAGGATAGAATGCCATAAAAATATTTAATAGTATGTAAATAAGTCTAATAATAGTAAATATATTAAGTTTATTAATTAATTATTAATTTTAATTAAAAGAAAGTAGAACATTCCATGAAATTTGGCTCTTTTTGAGAGGTGTTGTATCTCCGTTCTGTACTGCTCACCTGAGAGTACCAATTCATCAAGGAATTTAGGAATTTTAGTGACTATATTTTTTTACGGTTATTCGACCACAGCATCTTCTCTGTGGTGAGGTAGAACCCCAGACTGTTAATAGGTGCGTTGGGGGTCTCTTCTGCGTCTCCGCAGGATCTGCACGTTGGGGTTGGATGACACAATATTTTCTCAAGTGCCCATTCATTCCGAGGTGCCCCGACAAGAATCCTGGTAGGATTCGAAGTCTGTTCCTGCTTCCTTATCTATTGCTATTGCTTTGGTTTTAAATATCTCCATAAGGATTGTTTAGGTTCAGTGAGTGAATTTTATCGTTTCCTCACTTTCACTTCTTTCCAAAAATGTTCGTTGATAGAATGGATACTACAAAAGGGTTCAAGGCCTATCAGCGGTGTGATAGTCCCCTTTCCATGCAAGGGCATCTGCAAGGAAGAACGAATCCTTTCTACTCCGAGAGAGCTAATGCGTTTAAAGATCTATTGGCTGTCTAGTTTTCCCACATGATAGCTATACATTTGTCCTCTGATTAAATTGAATTGAGCATGGATAGATTGCGGTTTGAAAGTTACATCTATACTTGCATATGGCTCTCATAAAAATATACGTACTAGAATTAGAAGGAATCGGTTTCGAAGTGCCGTGATCCGAAAACTCTGCTTGATTGGCTAAACTCGCCGGGATTGTACTGATTTCTGTATCCTCGCTCGATGGGCTCAGCTGCCTTTCATAGCCTGAAAAAATATAACTATTTAATTTTGTTACTGTAGAAGGAATCAGCTTTCTGTGCTGTAAATGACAACAGACAAATAAATCTATTGAGAATATATTGATAAGAATAAATGAAATTATTAATAGGAAACAATTATGCATATTTATATTAAACCCAAGGAATTTAACGCATTTTTAAATCAGAAGTATTCTATTATACGTCAAGTTATTCCAAAAGTTAATCCATAGAACGGAGCACATTTTTATTACCGTTACATTGTACAATTATATATATATACCTAAATGACATGGATGGTGGCTATGAATTTTTTTTTAAATTCCATCCCTTGTATATATATACAAAAAAGTAAAAAAGTTATTCCAAAAGTTAATCCACAGAACGGAGCACATTTTTATTGCCGTTTCATTGTACAATTATATTTATGTAATATTATATATTATATATTATNATATATATATTTATTAATATTATATATGATTATACATGAAGACTTGAGGTAAGTACCGATTTCGTAAAAGGAAAAATTACATAATCACATTACTTTTCACGTTTGAATTTTTAGAAAACTTTACACTTTATTTAGAAGACTGCAGAAGTAGTCTAAGATCTCTTAAAAAAGTGCACGAATTATAGTTGTACTATGGTATAAGATTTTATAATCTAAAAAAAAAGTTGTGAAAAAATACAAACACATTTCAAGAAAATTTCACCTAATAAAGGATTAAAATAGTTAAAAAGGAAGCATTTTCTATCTATACGTAAAGATCAGATTTTTTATTACATTAATCTTCCGAAAAATTTTGAATATCAATTTTGTGAAAGCAAAAACGTTAAATAAATAAATAAGGTGATGCCTAAAAGATGTGTTAAAATTCCATGGACTACAAAGGACACCCATCAAAGAACCTATCAGGTTCAGCCCTCCCAATGCTACAAAAGGGACTGCAAAAACCTGCTTAAAGATGTGGGAAAAACGAAACTCACATGAACATGTAATTTTAGAAAACCTTAGCTTAATCACAAATTTGTTGAGGATCGCGGTGCGCTCAAAAAGAAGTGAGTATTGCTAATTCTTTCTGACCGCACCCCTGATTTATCTTACCTTCCTTAGCTTATATTTGTGAATATAAAAATGCCTAAAAAATTCCCTAAATGTTAGTTAAGAAAGATCAAAACTATTAAACAAGAGAGCATATTTGGCGTATACGTATGGTTAAACAAAATTATTAGATTTGTTGAACCTTTTGAAATCGCTACCCTAGAATTGACATTGGCTGCATAGAACATCAATTAAACATGCATTCAGGTTCATGCAATAAAGGTTACAAAAGTGACAAGAATATGGTCATAGGTGTTTACAGAAACGAAATTCACCACATCTCATGTTACAAAGCCTTCGCTGTAAACAGGTCCATTTCATAAAGGCAAAACTGCCTAAAGAAAAAATGACAACTAAGAAAGTATTATTTCTGAAAGAAAATTAATTTTCCATGATGTGTGTATAAAGTAGTGTCAAACCACATTAATAGATTTTGTAAACCTCTTGAAAACATTATTATAGAAATGACTTTGACTACAAAGGACAACAATAAAAAACGCAATCAATTTCAGTCCACTAAATAATACAAAAAGGGAACAATATTTCCATAGATATGAAAAAAATATCTCTCAAGATCAAATCTTACAGAGCATTAGCTTACATAAACAACGGCCATTTTATGAAGACAAAAACGCGTTGACACGGCGCAAAATGGGATTTTTTCAAAAACACCGGTACCCCGAGGGTTCATACAACCTCGCAGTTAAAATACCCTAATTAAAAAAACACTAGATTATTATATTATTTTGAACTTTTTAAAACTTTACCTTAAAAATAATTATGATTACACCAATCTAAGATTCAACAGACTCTAAAAAAATCAACAGAGAGGCCGCAACGTAAACTTTACCAACTTTTTAACTTAAAAATAGATCAGATAGAATAAAGTTGACTGCATAGGACTCAAACCAAAGATGCGATTAGGTTCATTAAATTAATAGCTACACAAGAGACTGCAAGAAACGGCTCATTGATGGTAAAAAAACGAAACTGACCTCAACGACAAATCTTACAAATCCTCAGCTTATTTATACATGGTTTGCAGAGGCAAAAACGACAACAAAGGAATTTAGCCTGGCTGTTCAAATTCTCAACAGAGATTGCATTGTCTTCTGAATTAGTATAAAGTATTATAATAACATTTGAACATTTTGAAAATTTTAGCCCTTCATTAAATATAATTTCAGAAATTACGAATAAAAGAGTGAGCAGGTTATCACCCCAAAATTTACTACAGGAACCGCAACATAAAAATCCAAATCTCAGTTTATAATATACAGAACATTTTGTGAAAGCATAAACATCAGAAGAAGACAACAAAGTAGCATATATGAAAATACTAAAATTTGTCAAAGATAATCTATTTTCAAGTGCATGCACATGTTTAATTTTTCTAATTTTCCCCTCAAGACAGTATTTAATATTTTATTGGCTATTCGAATTTTTTTACTTACTCCCAGGTGTCGTGTTGATTGCAAGGGGGTGGTGAAATTGTCCTGTCGGCGATGGCGTCAAAAGTGGACAATTTGAAATACTTTCTTCATCGCCGACGACCATGAATTCCGGGGACGCCCCCCCGATTCCGAGGTAGAGACTGTTGGGTGTCCCAGGCTCTGTGCTCATCTGGAATAAATCAAATCTAGTTTAATTTTTGTAAAAAACTTCTTATCTAAATATGTAAGGTGGGAAGTTTAGGTGCCGACAAACATCTAAGGTTATCGCCGGCCCTCTGAGTGTTTTCTTTCTTTTGCTTGTCTTTTACACGCATTTTTCAACCTGCAGCCATTGAGCGTCTCGATTTGTTACTGACTCTCTGATTTTGAAATGAAAACGAAGTCATTATCTTAAAATACTAGCCTCCCATTTGTATTTCAGGTTGCAACTGCAGAGACACACTAGATATACAATATATATTCATACACACATCACCACCCTGTGCACACATAGAAGTCTGGTCACATTCACTCCTCTAGAGAACTGTATTACTCGGTGCGGGGTTGAACCCACACCATTCTCGCTAATAACTAACTTTTACTCTCCGGACGTCACGCACTCACTACATTGTAGTTGACATTCCTCGGAGCGGCGTTGAACAACACTTTTTCACGCTAATATATTACATTCTTTCCACTAAATTAACATAAAGTCAACAACCGATACAAACAGAGAAGTATGGTCACATTCACTCCCCCAGAATACCAAACATTCTTTGGGGCGGTCTAAAACTAAAAAAGACATTAATTATTGCTAAATATTTATCAATTTATTCTTAACAACCAAATGTACAAAACCTGGTGCATAATTTACTCATTTACCTCCCAAATATCGGATTATTTTTCTACTTTTACAAAAAATTTGGTAACAATTATTTTCATAAAACATATTCTGCATGCACTTTAAATACTACTTTCAATCAATTAATTATTCTTTCTATGTAAGATCTTGGTTGAGATAAAAAGTCAGAGTCCCGGCGGGATTCGAACCCACGACCTTCGGCTAAATACGCCGCTACTCAATCACTTGAGCTATCGTGACTTCGATCCTCTCGACATCAACTCTCCATCTCAACCTACAACCGTTCGAATTTATACTCTTTTTGCCATTTTCAAATGTCGTGTAATCGAATTGGATTCTCAGCGACTTATGAAGTGGCCACGGGGGAGCTGTTTCTTGAAGAGATATTTCTTTTACTTTTTAAATCCATTTACGTTTTCGTGGTCAATTGACCAAGTTACTTCTTTCAATCTATTCTAAAAAAAATTATTCTTTCTATGTAAGGTCTTGGTTGAGATTAAAAAAGAAAGGCAAAATGGCAAAAAGAGGGAAAATTCAAACGGTGGTAGGTTGAGATGGAGAGTTGGTGTCCGAGAGCATCAAAGTCACGATAGCTCAAGTGGTAGAGTAGCGGCGTATTTAGCTGAAGGTCGTGGGTTCGAATCCCGCTCGACTTTTTATCTCAACCAAGACTTTACATAGAAAGAATAATTAACTGATTGAAAGAAGTAATTTGGTCAATTGATAACGAAAACGTAAATGGATTTAAATACTACTTTAAAAACCTAAACAAAGGATTAATTATATTTTCATGGTCAAGGTCGTGGCTTTAAAATGAAGAAATTTTTTAAAGCTCTATTCTATTGTGCTTGTTTAGTTTAACGCTATCAATTTTAGACGGTCAAGTAGATATTGCAAGCACACAAAACGGGCTAAATACTTGAAACCAGAAGTAGTTAGTTCATTAGAATATTTGTGTATAAAATGCGATTTAAAAGTTCCCTTAATGTATAATGGCCTTGCCACCACTTTGTCCAATTAGTTCATTCGGCTTCAATGAATTTCGGCCTTCTTCCAGTTGTACGAGTTATTATCTTTCACAGGATTGGTCTACTCTGGTCTGCAAATGTAATCAAGCTTAAATACTACAAGTACACTTTATAAAATTGAAACTAAAAATATAAAAAATGGGACCATACTTTTTCTAGCCAGTATTAAAATAAATAGAATTTCAAAGTTTATTTTCAGAAAGATAAATCTAATTTAAAGGTGCATTTTTTAAGCGTGACAGCTCAAGAATTTATTAAAAAATAACTTTACAATCACTTTCATACTTATCGAAAGACAAACGTAAAGCTTCATTGCTTTACTTTGCCAACAACTTCTTTTTAAAAACGAAATTGATACATATTTCTGTTTCTGCTAAAAAAACAGTTCTAAACTTTTTTCTTCAACATTGAAAGTTAAGAAAGTTAAGTTTTCACTTCGATTTTAAACTAACATACTTTAATTTGATGAGTAAGATTGAACAAACCATAACAAGTTTGTTGAATTAAAATTTTGTTTAAGGCAATTTTTTTCTAGCTTAGTTACATATATTTCAATATTTGTATAATAAAAAAGAAATTAGAATGCTTTCAGAAGACACAATTTATATTATTAAGTTATTCTGTTAACAATTGAAATTAATAAATGAATAACATATAATAATGTCAACTCCAAGGAATAAAATATGTAAGTTTCTGAAAAAAAAATCAAATCATTTTTTCTCTTTGCCATCGTGGTTAAAGGAGTGTGTATATTTTTATATTTTATTAATTATTATATAATATGTTAATTTAAAAATTGAATAACCAATATTTTTGGTCTCATTAAAAAAATTAAATATCAACCAAGCAAAGACGATTAAATAAATAGTAGATAAATAAAATTTTATAGTTTGCATTATAAGAAAAGCTTCATATACTGTTGTTGTCTTACAAAATTGATTTAAACAGGGATTTTTATTACACCGTAGTAGAAGGATGAACTATTAAAATGATATGATTTAATTAAGATATGTTGGTCAAAAACGAATCACAGCAGAGAAGCAATGATTGAAAGTAGCCTTCTATTTTTTAATCAAGGAATTCAAATCAACAACAAAAATTACTGTCAGGACTTAAATATTTCGTAACTTAGTCTGTTATTAGCTAAATCTAACGAATACATATAACAAACTTTTCAAAAATTCACTACTTAAACTCATACCTATTGTTTTAATTTTTAAATTTGAAAACATCAAAATTAATTTTAAAAAATTGGGATTTCCAGATCACTCAGTGCCTGTGAGGTATTTTGATAATAAAGAGTAAACTATTTTCTTTTAGGTAATAATTGTGCCTCTTAACCTGATGAACGTCTAAATGTTTTTGACATGTTTTCTTATAATTTCAAATATTAAGTATTTCAAATTATTGTAAAGCAACGATGGCTGTCTAAACTCTTGAAACAACATTAAAAATAACAAATACCTCACAAACTTGGTAAAGAATTATACCTCCAAATATTCAATCGGTGTAATTGATGTTGGTGTTATTTTTGAAAACTTTAGTATTTTAAACTATATTAAAAATGTTTGGTATCATTTGAATAAAGTCGCTATTCAATTATGTATTTCTGTGTCGAATTTTTTACTCTCATTTTTTCTTGTTTTCTTTCTTTGTTTTGTGTAAAGGTGGCCAAATACAAATGAGACATCCTGTATATACATTCACGGTGATAGATTAATTTTCCTTTGATAAAACAGGGTTGTAATGCTACCTAACCATTGTTTACGCTTGTTCATTTCGAAATTAATGAATGTCTGTCCAACTTTTTTTTGGTGAACCCTGTTTACTGAATAATTACAATTATGATATAATAAGGTACTTAACTATCAGTAAAATAATTATATATCTATTTATTACAAATGATATATTACACAAAAGTAGCGGAATTAACCAAATTATTGTTGTGACGGTAACGAATACTTCGAAAAATTACAGTTAACTGTTTATGTGATTGAATCATCCATTGAAAGACCGCATTCTTCCTCAGGTTTTTTTTTATCGGAACGTGAATCAGATTATAAATTAATCTAAATGGATAATCTACAGTCAATTATACATTGTAATTGTATTGTAAAATTACTTGTGATTTTCTGTAAAATGTCGGGATAAAAAGGGAAAAATAATTTACACTTTGCAGTTTGCATTTAGTCGAAATATGTTTTGATCTCTTGAATAAGGCCGTGAAAGTTATTTTGTTATGAATAGACGTGCCAACTGAAACATTAGACGCAATTTTAAACTAATACGTTGGACGAATTATCGTGTTATGAGAAAAATAAATAATACATTATAATTAAAATTAAAAATAAATTATTAATAATTAAATAATTTTAATTAAATCTTACTTTGTTTTTAATGTGCAAAAATAGAAATAAGTTTTCACTTTATTGAAAATCCTTTATAGCTGTATTTTTTGAAGCTTTAGCTTGACTGTTCCGAATTAACTAACAGCTAAATACGACTGCCTGAGCGATGCCAAGTTTATTAAGTAATTATTTCTAACAATTGAACCGAACAGGTTGAGTACCATTTGGTTTATTGATAAATACCCGGCTACTTCAGTAGTTCAGCAGTGGTTTATTATCGGTAAATTCGTATCTGCGACCTGTTTCCAACGGATAAATTTAGAGCGAGGTGAAATTCTAAAAATAAACTATTTCTTCAATGATAGATCCACTAACCTTTGGGGAATGGAGCTTATATTACGTTGGAGCGATATACGGCCGTAGATCCATTCAGCCGTAGAGCATTGCGAGTGGACGGCGTGGTCGGTCGTCGGATGGGATGAAACAGCCGGGGGCGGCCATATACTGTGTGACGTCTCCACCCCACTTCTACGATCAATAGCTCTCGCCGCCACATTCAATTTTATTCATTCAATGTCAGCTAGGGGTAATATTGTGGTGTGCCTGACTAAAACGTATCGACCTTACGTCACAAGGGTGTACAATTTTCCAAAACTTAAACGGAGTATTTTCATTGAGAGATTTCCTATTTGGGTCTGCGGGGTGATGAACCTTTAGTTGTTTTCCTATCATTTTGGGCGTTTCGCCTTCAAGCCATCGTAAGTGATGAGTTGCCCATCTACCGATAGTACTTTCCCCCATAATATGAATATAAAAACAGACCAAAAACAGAAATTGGCGGATCTAAATGACCAGGTGTTTTAGATGAGGTACTTGTAAAATTAATTTCAAGCTTGCCAATTATTTTGTGGCCTGTCTAACCTCGCTGTGTCTGCTTGAAGCTCTAAACCAGGGGTGGTTATAGAGACTGGGGTCAATGAGATCAGACAAGAGTGAATGCACGAATTAAAAGGACGTCAAATATGTTATCCCTATTTACCGATAATTAATATACACTGATGGACAAAATTAACGCACCTTCCTTAAATTTTAATGCATCTAGGTTTATTCACATTTTGCAAACCAAAAATAGGTTGCAAGAATAAGTCGTTTAAGAAGGAAAATATTCATTACCTGATGCTACAAAAACAGTTATTGAGTAAAGAATACAAAACCAGAAAATTCAAAAACGAAAACTTTTGTCCATTTTAATACCGAATATTTCCATCTCGGGTCATGAATCTCGCCCGTTAAACGCTTTTGTATTCCTGGAAAAAGAGTTCAGATAAAACCCTGAGGATTTCTTTCTTCATCAAGAACAGCCGTTTCCAACCTTTTAGGGTGCCATCGTACGCGTCGCTTAGGTTGGTCCCTAATGTGTCGGGTTTAAATCTGGAGATGGCCGCACCATGCACTCAATTCCAACGTCGTTCAGATAGTCATCCAATATACGTGCTCTACTAGACATTATCCTGCATTGGTAAGAATCTCTCAAATGGCACTTGTAGTTATGTTATGGTTACGTTTTGTAAGTTCCTCGGTGAACTTAGAGAACCTCCTCGCACAACAACCAATTCGGTGCTGCAGTCCAAGGAAATGCCACCCCAGAACATCAATAACCCACCATGCCTCCTGAGGAAACGTACAGCATAAGTACCTTTCTCCCGAGCTTCTCCATATAAAATTACCCATCAGAAAATGTGAGGCTCATGTAAAGAGAATTTTGCAATGTCCACTTTTATATAGTTTATTTGCTCTTATGTAGTTATATTCTGAGCGCTTTACGAGCTTTAGTTCGTTATTTTATTTTCGCAAAGGTTGGAAGAAAATGATAATATAGATTGTTGACATCTTTGTGGGATTTCTAAATTTTAAGCACATTTCAAATTATCAACTTTTTTATTATTATTTAAGTTGAACACGCTAGGTTGTCAATTCTAGCTCTCTAATTGTTTTTGTCACATTTCAGATCTAAATAAGCGAATAATTTACGGTACGCCATGAGATACAAAATAACATTTAAGAATTTACTAAGGATTCTACTCAAAAAATTATTGAACGTAAAAAGTTTTGCGTAATTCACCAATCCCTAGGAAGTTGTGTCAGAGAGTATTGATTTTTTAATGTTCTTTAAAGATCTTCAAAAGAAAAGATTCTTCAAAGTGGTTAAATGTGTACGTTTGTGCTCACGAATTCTTTAGACAATTTAACGTAGATGTTAAAAACGATCCCAATTTTGAAGAAAAATGCATAGGCAATAAAAAAAATTATTTTTTGTGGAATAAGTCCGTTTTTCCGATTTAAAAAAAGATAGTTTCTTCTCAACGAAATGAATTAGAAAACACGTTTTTGCTACATTTTACTCTATTTACAGTTTCCTATCACCAAATGTTTTTCTCGTCTTATGGCGAACCACCCTGTAAATATGCTTGCATGATTGACGGTTTTGAGTGTGGTGTAATACCATACTACTTTACCTACTGTTGGGCTTGCACAGAGATCCAACAGATGCCACAAGCATGTACACTTGAATTCGAGTTATTATATCCGCGTTTTGCCAACGAAATGTCACATTTTTAGGCGGTTTTTTATTGAACAATCGAATAGTTTAATGATAAAAAAAGCTAAACACATTTCATGTAATATGCTAGAGTACATATTAACCATCGGCTTGAAAGCAAATTTAAAGTATTATTTATTACTTCAGATTACTTTTTGAAATATAAGACGCTATAAGTAGTTTTACCCGTAACATTATTATTATATAATTTAAGTCATAATTGTTGAAATATTAGAAGAGATATGAAGATGATAAATGACACAATCTTCCTACTAAGATGAGGTTGAATACATTTCAGGAAATATTACAAGTGAAAAGAATGTAGAGATAACGTAAAAAAAGGTATTTAAAATGGCGAGACAAATGAAAATGTCATGAGATGTGAAAAACAAAGTATAAAATGTTTATAAAATTTGAAAATATATAAAATCAAGGAAACATGAATAATAGGTAGTTTATTGCAAATGATTGTGCTTGTTAATTTAGTCAAAATTATTTGTCCAGCTCCTTAATTAGTTCAAAAATGTTTTAACGGCTGTTTAGTTTTATATTTTATGTTTGTATCAGGTTTTGGGCTTGTGTTAGTTTATTAGAATGAACGAAATTTATTAAACGAAAAAATGAAGGGGTTGTTTATAAAACCGCCCCAAAGAATATCGACTACCATGTAGTGAGTGCGTGACGTCCGGAGAGTAAAAGTTAGTTATTAGCGAGAATGGAGTGGCTTCAACCCCGCCCCCAGGTATATCTAACACTCTTCGGGAGCGAATATGACCAGACTTCTAAGTTTGTATACGGTGGTGATGAATAAATATATGTTGTATGACTAGTGTCCATTCTGTAGTCGACAACTTGTGGCACAATGTGTATGTCTAGCATTTTAAGATATTTTTTAAGTTTTCATACAAAAGTAGAGAGTCAATAATAGGTCGAGACGCTCAAATGGCTGCAGAATGAAAATATGAGATAAAAACCAGGAAAAGAAGTACAAATGTACGAGTTTTATTGAGGCAAAAATGATTTTAAAAAGCTTTTCTTTGTTAGTTTTCAAGTTCAATGTATTTGTGAAATACATACTCTCTAGGAAGGAAGGCTACAGACGAATCCCCGATTTTAATGAAACTTTATTTAATGATACTTGGCCAAAAATTATTTTTTCTGTATTTGTAGTGCATGTACTTACATTTTGTTATATATATATCTTTCGTTTTTTTTACATACAATGATAAAATAATTTGCAGAATAATATTAGATTAGATTTGATTTTATATCAAATGTTACAAATACAAAAGGACAATCAGTAAAGCAAGCTAAAAAAAAAATATTTTAAAGAATAGTATTAAAATCTGTATTAAGCACTCTTAAATAAAAAAAACAGACATTTTTGACTGTAGAGCCGAAGACAATTTTTTTAATCCTATTTCCGGGTTTCAATTAAAATATCGTAACCCTTCTCGAATTTTATTTATACAAACTTTTGTCGATTTGTATCATTCAACAATATAACAATCGTTAGAAAGCAAATAATTCTTCTTTTAGCAAGAAACTTTTAGATATTCAACTTTCAGATATGTATTTATTCTAAAACCAGTAGATTTTCATGTCATTGTAAGTAAGAAAAACAAGGATGAAAGCCATTAAAGCTTATTATTTTATATTTTCAATTCTAACTTATTTACGAATTCTACATTTATGCAGTTACATGTTTCTTACTAGATTCTATACGATTGTTACTTTTTGTGTAAATGGGTTGAGTCTTTTCAAATTTATCGCTATTTTCGTCACTTTCGGTAGGGAAATAGAGACATTTGAAAGACAAAAAATTGAGAAAAATATATAATTTTGATTTTCCCAAAAATTTTTATGTTCTTTTTTGTGTAAAAAAAACGAATAGTAACTTTCTTTCTAGCTGAATATATGTATACGCTGAAGATGAAGGAAAGTCTTACTTCAACTTCCTCCTTGGGCCATCTACTTCTACACTTCGCATACCTTCCAATTTCACAAACTTTAATCCTCAAAACTTATATAACAATGTCGCCTGGTTCTTGAACAACTGTAGCTTGAAATTGTAATATGCAATATATACTTCTATTACGTCAGTCGGTACCAAGTTAGATTCGATACTTATTATGGCCGTCTAAAAAAATCAGTTCCACTGATTAAAGTACATGACAACAAAAACAAAAAAAAAACTATATTTAAAAAAGTCACTCGTAGACCTCATGATCGTGGGTTTGATTTTCAACTTCGCCCCTGGAATTTTCTATCACCCTCTCCTTCCCCCTTATAACAGCCAGCATAGTACCGTTTTCTGGGTAATATGGAAAATATAAGGCCATTAAAAAATTAACTATTTATGTTAATTACAATTCCTACGACCTGTTGATAAATATGTTGGGACACGTCTAATATTTTACGACCAAATAATACCAAAAAATGTGGAATAAAATCAATGAACCCAGGTCCGTTGCCTCCTCTGTCAGAAACTTTTTCAGTTACTGATTTTATTCGATTATTACAACTATGAATATGTAATTATTGTTTAACGGGCATTTGTGATGGTTTGCCTTAATTATTTCGAAACGTGCAACAAACTTGTGAGTTCTTTTACATTTTTTAATTTTAAAAAGTGATTTTGAAATTTGGTCGTAACCTATCACTTTAAACTGCCCTCGCTGAGTCGATTGTCAGAGGTGTTATGGCATTTTCCCAACCCGGAAAGGATAAGCAAGTCAACATGGTCAGTAATGATCAAATTTAAGGTTCATCACCCCGCAGACAACACAGGAAAACGTCGCAAAATATTATTTGTTAATCGTACTTAACGATAATCTATGGTATTAAAATATTAAAAAGTATATTAAAAGCGATTTTGTAACAAATAAAACCACATTAAAACAGAACCTGAGCCATTTTCAAAAGAGTTCTCACAGGATTATATTTGCAATTGAGCCCGAAAATCCCAAAAGTTATGGGGTCTCCTAAGGATGGGTTATAAAATGTGACAATGTATGGCGAACAATAACAAGATCCGGGGATCCAATTTGTTTCATCAAAAATGAACTAGTTTATATTATTTCTATGTTATCATACCACTGATAATTTTTTTATCTGTGCGTTTGTTTCAAATTATGTTCAATGACAGATCAACATTACACTGTTCTGTCATGAAATCATTCTAGTTAATAGCCTGTTTAAGAAGTTGGATCATACATTAAATCAGATAAAATTGTCACATGCTATTAAGTTGGCTTAATTCTTCTCTACATCAACATAATATTATTCTATTTCTTTGTTCAATATTCTACAGCATTATAAATCAAGTCAAATCTGAGAATGCATGTCACGTAAAGAGGATCATATTCGGACGTGATCCAATACGTTCGATTGATAAAAATCCCTATTCAGTTAGCATCGATCTTATTGTTTGCATTCGTTCTTTTAAATAACGAGCATCCAAAAGCAAAGGAAAATTCGTATTTTGTACATCGGGAGTTCTACTTGCAAAATAGACTCGTATTTTGTTGCTTATTTCAAACTGTATGTATTCTATCGTACGTACGTATACTATAGCATTATCCTATATTAACACGAAGTTAAATAAATAGGGCGAAGTTTTCAGAACTTCTTCAATGTACGTTAGTGCAGACAAAGATTCATTCGGTGCCATTCCATAACTAATGATATGAACAGGCTGTGACTCATGCATGGCACATGAAGTTCTCCATATCTTTTCCACACACGTTCCAGGTCATTGATTGCCACAAACCGGTGACAAGAACCGCCCCAAGTGTCGAAGAAGATGCTGATTTGTGGGTAGACGCCATTCCACTCGACGTATCCAGTAGAGAACCTAACGAGAGGTCTAACTTCTCTATTCTCACGAACCCTTCTGTTGAATGGTTTAGAGCTTACCTTTACGGACCGTTTGGAGTTGACTACCAAGTAAGCCGGTAAATGAAAGTTCCGTAGTGCTGTATGAGCAATAAAATGATCGTCTCTAGCCATCGTTCATCGCGATTGACCACTACCTTCCCTTCGAGGCACCCCGTGACCCTAAACCGCTATAGAGCAACACGGATGGTTGAGCGCAGCACACCCAAGACGCTAGGTCTGTCGTTCACCAAAGCATCTCACCAGGCGAAATATTCTCGACTTAAAAAAAATATTTTTTACTCACATTCATTGTTTCGTCAAAGAAATCAATTTACTCACTCGACAAGTTGGTTCTGAAAAGGATGAAATTTTTCTGATTTTCTTTATTTTTAATCTAAAGAGTGTAAAGGAATTAGTAGCAGTCAAAAATAAGTAACTAGGGTTGTGTTTACGTTTTGAGTCAAATATTAATCCATTTATGTTTTAGTGGTCAATTGACCAAGTTACTTCTTTCAATTAATTATTCTTTTTATGTAAGGTCTTGGTTGTGAGAAAAAAGTCAGTGTCACGAGCGGGATTCGAACCCACAACCTTCGACTAAATCCGCCGCTACTCTACCAATTGAGCTATCCTGACTTCGATTGCACGACATTTGAAATTGGCAAAAAGAGGATAAATTTGAACGGTTGTATGTTGAGATGGAAAGTTGATGTCGAGAGGATCGAAGTCACGATAGCTCAAGTGGTAGAGCAGCGGCGTATTTAACCGAAGGTCGTGGGTTCAAATCCCGCTCGTGACTCTGACTTTTTTATCTCAACCAAGATCTTACATAAAAAGAATAATTAATCAAATATTAATCTTTATACCTAGTTCTTATGGAAAATAAACAAATAAGTGCAAGTGTCGGGCTGTACGTTTACTTTATTCGATGAATAATTTTCGTTTATATAATTATCATGAATCATTTGTATTATAAAACATCACATAAAAATGACCATTTTTTTATATTTCAACATTACAGATTAAAGATAACTTATTAGCATGTCGCATTGGGATTTTTTGTTCAACTTACGTTAGCGATTCCTTTTCTTTTGCTGCTGCGTGAAGAAAGTTGTGTTAAAGAAAAAGCCATGGCTTAAATCATATGTTTATTTATAACTTTATTATGAACGTATATATATCAACGTACAAGTTTATTACATTAGGTAACATTCAAAATTAAACCAAATTTCTTGAATAGATATATTTTAATTCGTTGTTAATAACACAATATTTAATATGTACTATACAATACAGCAACAGAGTTAGGCCAGTGAGAATTACATATAAATTATAGTGCTTTCGAAACACAAGTTTTATTTTAACAAGTTTTTGTTCATCTAGAAATACGATTTGTTAAAGATTCTGTTAAGGGTGGGCTTGAATTTCCCAAAAGGGTGGCCTAGGTAAACAAATAAATTGGAAATTGTATTAACATTGGTTTCCACCCTCGTAATCGAGGGTCTGCTGACAGATTATTTTTCTCTTTTTGATTTGATTGCTGCCAAATATTTTTCCCCTAATTCAATTTGATATCTTAACTTTCTTGAATAAATTCCCCTCCCCCACTAGTATCCGCTGTGGACTCAGTCAATGATGAAGAGTATTGTGAGTATTGTGCAAGTAGTGGTGAATCTTTCAAACAAGCACGTCTACAAATTTATAAAAAAATTGACTGCATGCGTGGATTCTTTTAATCTATTCTACTCATGCAGATGGTGTTTGGTTACAAATTAAAAAATTATTAAATCTGAAGACACAATATCTACTAACATACCATCGAAACTTCATGCAGGTAGGTTATAATTTTCTTTAACAAATATATTTATTTCTGTGTAAAAAAAATATATATATGCAAGTTTCTAAGATAATCGATTTTTTTGAGGTTGCATAAAAGTAGTCTCATAAAATATAACTTTATTTAATCAAAAATATACATTTTAGCACCAACACAGGATGCTAGGTTGATCAGAAAGGATGTGTATAAAGCTACTATGATACTAGGTGCATAAAATAATATGTGCAGTGGTGCAGTGCTTGATGGTAGGGATAGTCATGCATCTCCTAACATGTGTAGGATATAGTCCCATGCACTACCAAAGTGGGAAAACGTGCCTTCATTTGCGAATAATAGTGGTTTCCTAGAAACAAAAAATTTCTTTCGTTTAAAATCATAATGGCTTTTCAGGATACACTCTCCTACTACAAATATTAGTTAGTTTTGTTTTATTATGGGAAATCTTAAAATTAAATTTGTATTTAGTAGTAGTAGTGTCTTGGTGTGTACCTGAAGCCTTGACAACTCGCCTCTGAAGACTTACAGACGTGGCATTTACATGACACTGCGTGGAGATACTCGTAAACTTCAGTTCCAGGTTCGGCACCCTCTTCGCAGTGCTTCAGAATTACCTTTCTCGGCTCCCTAATTCCGTGCATACAGACAGGATGGTTGGATCTTTTATAGGGGAATCTCCAATCTGAAATCTATTTTTTAAAATTATTATGGAAATTTCTTTTTATAAATTGTATGTGTTAGTTTTTGGGATGTTTTGAAGGAAAATTTAGAGATTTTGTTAACTGCTATGATAATATGCTTTTCACCTTTTCCTTGCCTATAAAAATAATAATAAGTAACTAAAAGTTTAATCATTCCACATTTTATTGTGACATGTTCACCCCGAAGATATTTTACTGACGACAAATAGGACTTGATAGATGCATGACTCCTCTTTGGCAGGAAGGCCCTGGTAAATTGCGTGTCGTGAATAAATCCAAATGAAAATCTCATATTTCAAGATCATACATTTTTAATGTTTAAATCCGATTCAGTGCATTAAAAAGTGCACTCGAAGCAAAGGGACGAGCGACAAATAATTGGAAATCCGTTAGCGATTTTGGCGAAAGGTTGTGGGTCAGATATGTAATTTTCAGATGCATCTCTCGTGTACATCGACCCGGAATGGTTCATTAAATTTTGTATATGTTTGTCTATGATATATCAAATGAATGGAAATATTTAAAAATATAATATATCAAGTAGTATGTTTCTAATTTTTTAAAAATCATGTTTACTTTATTTATTTTAACTTTACTTATTTTAAATCATATTTTACTGCATATTCACTTTTGGACAATGTAATTACACGGGTGTAATTTAGATAATTGTCATGGTAGCTGTTTATGCATAAATACCACTTGCGGACATTTATTTTTGTTTGATGATCTGCAGTTTAATGATCGTCTACTTACGCGACACAATGTAATCAAGATCGATTTAACGACTGTAGCAAAAGAAATCGTAAATGACATCATCTGCCCTAATTTGTTCACCAACTATGGCTTCCCTCGTACTAGTTCTTCAACGAGAAAGTATAAATGGAAACCTTCGTAATCATTTTACTCAGGAACTGAATGGCATCAACAGGTTGGCTTGGCATTTTTCCGAACTGCTTATACTTCCGATATGTTTCATCCTCATATTTCTCTCCGAGCCATGCATAATGTATTACCCATTCGAGAGTGGATGAATATACATGAGCGATGTCCCCTGTGCTGGTAATCAACGCCGTCCGGAGGCCGTGTTCGGGGTGGCAGAAGATAATTAGCTAAAATCCCGATCCCTGTTTTCTTCCTCTTCGAGATTAAAGTGGGATCGACCCGGGATTTTCAAATTGAGGAAAATTAGCAAATTGAATTTGACAAGGACGAAAGATCCTCTTACATAAACATTGTAAATAGTAAACAGAAAGAGTATAATTCACTTTTTTTAAATGAACTTAATACCATTAAATATTGATTTTGCTGCTTCTGAGAAATTATTCATGCATTTGGTTTTTTGACATATTCTTCTTCAATCATGTTGTAGGCAAAAAACTTATTTTGACCTTAAACTAGGCGATACAACTTTTGGGGGCGATACTATACGTTTCACGTAATTATTCGTTTAAAAATAATTAGGTGTCGAATTAAAGATTATTTGTAGATCGTGAGATGCGGTCTGGTGTGACGAAGGTTTTATAAAAAGATTTTCTTTATCGTGCCAACGTTTCGATCTTTATTGAGATCTTCTTCAGGGCTCAAAGTGTTTGTTTTCTGCGTAGATGTATCATTCCTGTGGGTCGTGTTGAGAGTACCATGTGTACACGTAGAGAGGAATTCAGATTTTCGCGAACATACAGTAAAATATTCAGATCCTCGTCGAAATTCTTGTTGATGGAACAGCAACTGAACCGTATCTCCTCATATTGCGAGCAACACGAATAAAAGTTTAGTGTTTTATTCTGTGGCGTTCAGGAAATTTCTGGAAGTTCAACTCGACTGCAAAACGCATTATCAACAAAGCAGTTAGGCATATCAACTCGCAGTTGATCAAAAAAATGTGCTTTTCGATTCATTTTGAATGGAACACTGAATGTAACGAATAGGTAGTAATATAAAATTTATTTACTTCCAGGAATTTAAGATTTCCTCTCATAATGTGAGTTTGACAAACAATGACGGAATATAAACAATAAAGGCAATTATGGTTTACTTTAATGAAGAAACAAATTATTGGAATTAACAACGAAACAAACGAAGAGTATTTTTTCCAAACATTTTGTTATAACTGTGTGCCATGTCATGCCATGTCATTTTTTGGCCAACATAAATTCCGATTGCACCATCGTTTCATAGTAAAAGATCCTTTAAAATAATGTGTCAGGATGTATAGGGTCCTATTTGAAATTTTGAAGTTGAACTGAGCCTTAGGTACCCTGTATAATTTTTCTCTAAAAAAGGTAAACCTTTGAAATTAGACTAAAAAATAGTAAACACGTATTTTTTTATTTTTTGATAACGTAATTGCTTCAAGAGAATTTCAGCCAAGCCATCTAAAAAGGACACTCTGTATACTGCTATATTTGAATATATTCAATAAACTTCAATAAGACTGTTTTCCCACACAGAAAAAAATTGGGGTTACCATTTTCCAATTTTTAAAGAAGGTACTTATTAGTTAATTTGCTTAATTGTAATTTATTTATTAGTAGGTTTATGTTTTATATAAAGTAGGTAGATTGTTTTCAATTTCTGTTTTTTTTTTGTTTTTTGGACGTGTGATTTTGTGGTTTGTGTCTAAGTGTACGTTTTTCTTCAATCCTTTTCTTTGAAGAGAACACAACGAAAACCTTAACACCTGCTTCAATTGTACGTCGTCAGTTTTGACAACATTTGACACAATCCCCCCTTTCAGAACGTAACAAGCCTTTTTAAAATGTCTCCGTCTCGGGAGATTCCATTAAATCCAATCCGTGAGAAAATACGATAAAATTGTTACCAGACGAACAAACACGAAGACAAACAACGTCGAAAAGGCCGTCGACCACAATCTTAACATCCGTTTCGAAGACTCCATTTATCGTGATTTTTCTTCTTTTTTGGAGGGGATATCACTTTGACCTCTTGTTGAGACCGTTCTCACAACTCTATCATATATCCGTGTTACCCTTGGTTTTTGTTTGTATTATTTATACTTAACTTTAAGTGTAACGCTTAAACCATCTTTGAAACACTTTGAAACCTTATCCAGCCCTAAGGAATTTTTTTCCTTAAACAGTCACTTGGTTGTAAAATGCTTTGCAAAATTTATGAAAGAAGACTAACTCTCGCAGACTCACAATTTATAGACTTTTTACTCCAATTCTATCTGATTTATAGGCACTTTAGTGTTTCGGTTGGGTGCTTTTCCTCTACTTTGTTTAGTTGTTGCAGGAATTTCGCACGGTTGTGGTCTGAGTTAGTTTTTATACATATCAATATATCTGTATTTTGTTATACACCTCTATCTCATTTTGATACTGCGATTCTATTGGGTTGTCCGGAAAATAATGCAGGATTTTGGTATTAAACAAAAAAAAAGAAACTAGTTACTTTAAAGCAATGTTCTTTAATCANTGACATTCATACAAATGAGTAATCCTGTAAACGTAAACAGAATATTTTATATAGATTTTTTTTAATGAAAACTTAAAATCCTGCATTATTTTCCGGACAACCCGATAATTAATGCTGCTGACAACGCAGTATTATTATTAAATCCCGATCCTGTTACACCTCACTGAAACCTACAGACTCTGCACCAAAAAACAGTGGCTTACAAAATGGCGCATTAAGCTATATCTCTCTAAATACAAAATCATAATGTATACCCTACCAGCGCATCACTTTTCATCTAGTATATTCTCTCTTCTAAAAGAAAACATTGCTCTTAGACAATCCACCCACTTGGAATCCTGATTCACGGTTTAAAAGAACAATTGGACCGATGCTACCGACTAATTAACTGTCTACGTAACAACAGAGCCAAATTATACATTGAGAACAACTACAAGATCCATGTAAGCAAAATGCTAAATGCTAACCTAATGCTAATCGAAACCGGACCTTGCAATCGCGAACACTAACATATATATTGTAGACAAGCCATTTTATGTTTCCGACCGGATTATATAAGACTATTACAACAAAACATTTATTAGAAAAATTGCAACGTCTAGATGATCTTGTTACAATTTTTTTGACAAAAATATCCAATAGATCTTCAATTACCATATTCTGCTACTTCCTGACGGTCGCTTTCTAACAATAAAGAATAACTGATTTTTTTCCTGCTGAGACCTGTTCACACACATTTAACCATTCACGCCTAAAAAAAGATTCACACATGGGACATGACCGAGGTTTTTATAGTGCGCCAGTGCCCCTTTTGATAAGACTACACATATTATATTAACTAACTAATTTGGCCTTTCTGTGACTCTACATTCCGTCTCAGACTCGCCTGCTCGTGCTCGACCATTCTCGTTAATAAATACTATCACACCTGAATAAAATCCACGAATGACAAAGTTCCCTATGTGCAATCAATGTTATGGTTTAATATATTTACAATAGGGCATTACATTACTTATGGTATATTCTTTCTCCAAATGGTTATCGTATATTCATTATATTCTTTCCCCAGGTAGAGATGGTTACTAGGTATTTTTGCGAGGAGGTGCCCATGGGTTAACCGCGTATGGTTAATCCTCATGCGGGATCATACTATTTTATACCTTTTTTTATTATCCAAGGCCCACTGTTTCACCGTGCGTTTTAAATAATTAAACTTTTCGTTCTTGGTCTTGAGCAGTTTTTGCCAATTATTCCAACAAATTCTTTTCATTTCTTGTTTTACTGGACTAAATGGAGGCTCTGGGTCATGTGCCAGGGAGCAATTTTATCAACTCTTCTATTCCTATTTTCTTCTATGCTTATTTGACCTGGGAGCCAGATGATGGTGACCTACCAATTTTTCCCTCATTGTGTGCAGTTTTTCATTTATGTCCTGGACCAATGGAGAATTATTTCTGACCCCTGAGACTGAGATAAGCAAATAAATAATCAAAAAATGATTCAGGATGAAAAAACTCTTTTTTAGATCTATCAAATTCTTATACTTAAAACTATTTAAGTTGTGATACTGAACTAAGCATATTATTTGTAATTATATTTTTTTTATTTAAAAAAAATGTAGTTTAAGCATACACCCTGCATACAAAAATAACTATTTTAGACCTGCTAAGGCTCTAAAATTCAAAGAATATATAATAATGAAATTAAATTAATTATTAAATTAATATATATTATTATATTATATTATTAAATTAATTAGTATGCTCTGTTGTTAAAGCTTCGTTCGTTTTTTCTTAAATTTAAAGTATTTAAGTCAAAACTGAAAGACTGGCTGTTCTTTTAATTAGGAACTTGCAAAAGCATAAATTTATTTTACTCTTTAGATTACTACAGGTTAAATTAACGGAAAATGCATGTGACTATAAAATCTATAAAATTAAACTTAGCTTTGTTACTTACTTTAGGTAACTATTTCTTCCCTAACTAATTGGCAAATTTTTTATGTCTTACTTTTTTTAAATTTTCTATGTATGTATATATATTTTACAAGGGCTCGCAATAGCAGAGGTTATATCAACCCTCGGGGTGCCGATGCTTTTGAAAAAAAGCCCATTTGTAAGTATGTAATGCAGGGCCGCTGGATTCGAACCCGGGACCTTTACCCTACAATGACGAGCGCCGTGTCAATGCCCAAATCGTTGCGGCCACCCATGCCCCCCCATGTATATGTTAAAAAAACTTTAACGCGAATAAATGAACCAAACAAATACAGATTGAACATTGTCTGTTTTCTGTTACATCAAACTTAGTTGATTTAAGAACATTATTGTAAAATAGTAGTAACGTCTTTTCCCGTCGTCGGCTGTTCACCTCAGAGAAGCCGACACCTTATACAAAAATGTCTTTTCTGTACCGACTTCCTTCCCCACCCCTTCAAAATCCAACGTGTATAAACATAAAACAGGAATATCCCACTGGCACTCACAACACGACACGCAAGAATGACACAATTACACTGAAGACAAACACTTTGAGTGAGTAGAAATACTTTGATTGAATATAAAAAATATATTTTGCATTGTATAAATTCACTTTTTTCCACATTCTACATGTATTTGTTTAATGTAAATAATGTTTGTAAATCCCAGGCCCTGAAGATGATCTCAATAAAGATCGAAACGTTGGCACGATAAAGAAAATGTTATCCTGACACCTACATCACACCAGACCGCATCTCACGATTTCTGAAAAATTGTAAAATAGGATAAAACGCTACGATGAAATTAAACGTGCTGATTAAAATTAAATGAAGAAAGGACATGGTTAGGGAAAGACAGGAAAAGAAAGGACATTAGCATTAAATCAAAAATGAAACATTCAACCAGTGCTTTTATGAAAATGAATCTCATCATAATTCTAGTTCTGTCAGTTTTACAAAAGCAGACATACGAAAAGACATTATTTTGATAATAAAGGACTGTAGTTAAAAGAAGTGTTTCATATTTTAACTTGACCCTTGTTTTTATGATATTAAGAGGATTATAATAAATAATTTATACGCAGTGGAGTTTTTTTGTTAAAATCTTTCATTATAAAATAAAAGAAGGTTATAAAAGTTGTTGGTTTTTACAAAAATTACAAACAACATACATTTTCTTGAGATATTACGTATCTCGGAATATATCAGGGCTGTGTTTGGTTTTGGCTTGGAAGTAACATCTGTCACTGTCACCGAGCTTTTTTTCGCCAGATAAGAAACATGGGCTTATGTTAGAATTAGTACAATTTTGTAGATACATAGAATAAATGGTTTAGAATTACGCCCATTTCCATTTAATACGAAACTGGAATATTAAATTTGATTCATTTGCAACTGCAGTTTAAATGTACAACAGGTAAAAATGGTGGGAAACAAGCAAACTAAGTTGTCGCGTGGCCAACGTCGCTTCAATCTCCGAAGGAGATACCGGGTAATGGATGACCATTCGCGGATCAAGGGGTTTGAGTGATCGGGTAATTTAGAATAAAAATTATTGAGAGATAATTAGGTAAGTTGGGGTACGAATGGGATTAATAAGGTACGCAGAGGTAAGGTATAAGGTACATAAGGGAGTGTTAATTATTTTTCTGAAAATTTGGTTTGTTGCCTATTCTTTAAATTTTATTCACTAGTTTCGTGGTCCGCTTAACCAATTAATATATTACAATTAATTAAGGTTTTCAGTTGAGATAAAAAAGTCAATGGCACGAGCGGGATTCGAACACACGATTTTCGGCTTGATACGCCGCTGCTCTACCACTTGAGCACAATTAGCAGGTGAATTGTCATCGGCGAAGGTGAAAATGAAAGTTAGGATTACTAAATCGATATTTGCTCTAAAGAATGCGAGATTTTTACCAGCATTTGATGAAAATTGTACTTACTTCATCGGAAACGCATCGACCCCAGCAGGACATGACGCTGATCGTATCCCAGCATATTCTTCCTTTTGAATCGTGTTGTGCCACTTTGTAGGAGAAAATTCGTTTGTGACACGCCAAGGTGGATTTTGTCAATTCGTTTGTGTCGAGCTCGATCCCGGCAGCACAGCCTACCAGAATCACGAACGCCACCGCCGCTCTGGAATAATACGACTATATTTACTATGACATTTTTCTCCGTGTGGGTTGTGTGTTCGAATATTTAAAATCATAACCTTTGATTTGAAATATTTAAAATTTGAAAAAAATGCTGGCGTATGTACTTTTCAGAACTTTATCTCTTTACGCCCTCTCTTACAAATGCAAAAATTAACTATATTATTTTCAATAAATGCACTAGTTTTCGTGGTCCGCTTGACCGATTAATGTCTTTCAATTAATTAAGGTTTTTCGTTGAGATAAAAAGTCAGTGTCACGAGTGGGATTCGAACCCACGATCTTCGGCTAGATACGCTTGAGCTATCGTGACCTCGATCCACTCGGACACCAACTTCCCATCTCAACCCCACCTTTTGAATTTTCTCTCCTTTTTGCCATTTTTCAAATGACGTGTAATCTGTTTGATTCTCGGTGACAAATGAAATGGCCACGGAGCGGTTTAGTGAAGATAAACTTCATTTTAACTTATTAAATTCACTTGTTTTCGTGGTCCGCTAGACCAACTAATGTCTTTCAATTAATTAAAGTTTTTAGTTGAGATAAAAAAATGGCAAAAAGGAGAGAAAATTCAAAATGTGGGGTTGAGTTGGGAAGTTAGTGTCCGAGTGGATTATTTTTTATGCTTAGCTCAAAATGAGAACAGACTAATGAGAGAATAGTCACGACCAAATATTTACAGAAACGGAAAATGCTTAACAAAACCATTGCTGGCTCTTTTCTACTAAAATACTATAACTATTGGTTAATATATTAAGAGAGAAGGTTTACGATGTGTTCTGATACCAAACTTTGAATTTTCCGAGAAAGAATGAATATTTATTGAGTTTTAGTTTTTAAAAAGGGAACTACCTTCAAAATGTTTCTTATGTTCCAATTAAACGCACCAACTCATTAAAATTCTAACTGGACCAACGGTGAAAGAATATGCATTCCTGGTGAAAAATTACCTTTGAAACCAAATGTAATTTTTACACTGTAAAATAGGCAGTGAAAAAACAAAAACCCGTGTTGTCACTTATAACGTGTTATAACAATTCTAAAAATGTACACTAAACAAAAATAAAATAACCAATACGAATAAAAATAACATAAAAGATAAAAACTGCAAGTAACTGCAATTACGAAAAGGGAAATTATATTGAAGGTATATATGTAAAAGCATAAGCTTAAACTTTCAAATGTTAATTTTTCCCTTTCGAGCGGTGCCAAACGATAGAGTTCCAAGAAAATTTAGTGCGATAAACTGAAAGTATAATTCCTTAATCGTATTTTACAATCTTGATAACCAATCCTCGAATGAATGGCTGATTTTTAACATTATCACTCCCCAATGTCTCGATTCTTTTAATCATGACTGATGTTTGTCTCCATCTAAATAAACTGCTCAAAAACGAATAGAAATATTACCTGTGTTACGGTATGTAATTGACTAGAATTTTTATTTTATTTTTATTATAAATTGCATCAAAATTTATTAGACATTATTATGTTTTACCGAAAGAAAATTAAATTACGGGATTTTGAAAATAACAAAATAAAAAGTTTTAATTCAATAATTTTGTTTATTGGACCCAATAATTTTTGCCAATAATAATTTGCCCGCTGTTAGCTTACTGTTAATACACGGGTAGCTGTTCGGCATACTCTTAATAAGGTTGTCACTAATTTCATAAGGAATTTCACTACATAAATGTTGCAACACTGCACTCAGTTGTTGCAGGTCAACTGGCTGCGGATGGTGATCGAAAAGACTTCTCCACATTCCACAGGTGCCCAATGAGATTGGGGTCTGGAGGCAATGGGGAAAGGGGCAGATGGGAAATTCCCAGGTTTTCTAAACATTGAGGAACAACTGTATATCTATGAATCCAGAAATCGAAAATCCCTGCCAATGAGATCTATGGTTTGAGGAATGATTTCCACGATAATTTCTCGGATATAACAAACTGCGGTGAGTTCGCCTTCAATAACAAGTCCAGATCGTCCTCCAGTGTAAATCCCAGCCCAGACCATTACACCGCCTCTTCTAAACTGCACTGAAGTGAGCAGGAACTGTGGCATTGTACGCATCCCCTGTTCACGGTAGACTCTTTGTCACCTGTTACCACTACCGAGATAGAAAAGCGATTCATCAGTAAATATAGCAGCATCCCAATAGGTGTTCTCTTCTAAGCGCTTGTTGCACCATATTTTCTTTAGTTGCTGGTGGCGGGCTGTTGGTGCATCTCAAAGGGGCATACGATGTGAAGCCAACAACCCTTGATTAAGAATCGTTTGTGTTGATAAAGGCCATGCAAAACGTCTTGTACATTATTTAAGACCTGGCGGACACTATGGAAAGGTTTCCTTCTTGCAGCAATGATTGTATTTCTGTCCTCCCTTAGCGTTGTAATGAGCTGAGATCCACTACCAGGCCTCCTATTGGCACTTCCAGTCTCTTTAAAGCCCGGTAATCACCCTGACAAACGCCAACTGCCTCTGTGATACCCACTTGCCGGTGACCTCACAATAATATAGCAAACTTGTGGTTCAAGATGATGTCTTTCTATGGTTATGGAGAATACATCTGGATTAAAATGGAGAAAAGGCGTTCGCTTACAAAATGTGTAATCTTCATGTTTACTATTCTTAAGTAAATCCGTTATTAAAAATGAGGATTAAAATTTGGTCGGTTTTGGTTTGTACTTTCTATTTTGTTTTATCTAACGAACAAAAATAGATTGATTAATTTAATTAAAATTAATAGATAAATTAACAAATATCCCTATTCATTTTTGAGCAGTTTACATGTTTATTTGGTTTAGGCAATATTTAGTTTTTCGCAACGTCATACAAAATACTGGTATATTATAACGTAATTATGATCGGAATATATACAAAATATTTGATAATTATAGTTCCGATTACAGTGCATAATTATAATTCTCAAAATCCATTTCTTCCTTTTTTTAAATGGTTTTATAAATTATCTACTTCATTGTCAATTATACAACGGATTGTTCTAAAAGGAAATTACCGAGTTGTCCGTTTGTCTTAGGAAAGTAAAGATTCTACGGGGTGTTGAAAGGGCGGATCGAACCAGACCGAATACTCTGGATGAGCCTTGAGCTATACCAACTTGGATGTCACATCACTTCCATTTCCGTGCGTCAAACCCTTCTTTCCCCCTTTCACCATTTCCATAATTTACAAATATTACGAGAAGATACGAGTTCCCAACTATGCCGTTTCCTATAGAAAATCGCTCCAGGCTTATGTCTCGGCCCCGTTATGTTGTTTTAAAAAGGACATTGCATTAAAACACTGTTCATGTACGAATCTTTTTCCCTCGTTTAGTTGGTTTATGCAGATATTTGATAAACCGAAGTTTATATATTATCAAGCTAAAACTTCAAATATTACTGAAATAGTGTATTACACCAAATGACTTTGACGTGAAAAATTTAGTTTTCCAATTTTTCACTGCGATATATTTCCTTAATCCCTAATGGTAAGATACTATAGAAATACTACTAAATAAAAATAGTATTATACTATAAAAAATGAACTACTAACCACGATAAAATAACTGTATGTATTTAAATGTATAACACAATCTTACAATTAATTAAGGTTTTCAGTTGAGATAAAAAAGTCAATGGCACGAGCGGGATTCGAACCACGATCGTGTAATCTATTTGATTCTCGGCGACAAATGAAATGACCACGGAAAGTTTTAGTGAAGATAAACTTCATTTTAACTTACTAAATTCACTAGTTTTCGTGGTCCGCCGGACCAATTAATGTCTTTCAATTAATTAAAGTTTTTAGTTGTGATAAAAAAGTCAATGGCACGAGCGGGATTCGAACCCACGATTTTCGGCTAGATACGCCGCTGTTCTACCACTCGAGCTATCGTGACCTGGATCCACTCGGACACCAACTTCCCATCTAAACCCCACCTTTTGAATTTTCCCTCCTTTTTGCCATTTTTCAATATATATATATATATATATATATATATATATATATTGCATTGGTGTTGCAACGTTTCGTATGTTTAAATAAGTTAAAAAATTCATGAATGAACAATAGATTAGTTCTGGTCGTCTCCGAACATCCTAGTAAGCCTAGTCTATTTATCTGTTTGTGCTATATATTTTACTACCAGTTAAGTAGTAAGATTTTAGGAAAGAAAGAAAACCTACAATAAATATTTTCTTGATTATGCTATAATATTCAAATCCTCAGATTGGTCTTGCATGAAAAATTCGCAAAGTGATTTTACAGTTCCCTACAATGCCATGACATATATAACAAAGAAGAATATCTTAATGAGTAAATATACGGTCACATGGCCTCTAGGGAGACATGAACAAAATACTTTGACAAAACTTCCGGACAAACGTAACTACCAAAAAAAGTAGGAAACATGAAAAACCCTTCAGTGAAAGTAGGGCCTGTAGGACGCAATAAATAACAGGGACAGGAGTATTTGTATACGAGGCCAGTGTAAGATCATGGACATACCAGTATTTTTTCACACTGAAAGCCTTATAATTGAGTTATGTACTCTCGCGGATAGCCAGGCACACATCGCAATACAAAGTCAAATATCATTAACTCCAGGAAGGTGCTGAACACACTTTAAGTTACAAGAAAACGAGGTTTCTCTACAGGTCCCAGAACACTCAGAAGTAGAGAGAAACGAAGAAGTGGATGCACTTGTGAGGAAAAGAGCTGCTACGTTGCTGATATATACTGAACCCTTTTTTGTTTAAGGGATCATTATCAATGAGGATCCAAGATTACATGGTAAAAATGGAATTCACTCACTGGATACAATCAATCCAGTTTTTCAATTCAAAAACATCCTGGCTATTTGGAAAGAAACAACAGAATCTATCAAAGTAAGCAGGATAAAACTCTGAATCCCAATAGAATGCCTAACGGGACACTGTACGGTCAAGAAGTAAAAGAGACCCCGCGTCCCTACTGAAA